ACCACTAAGTTAGAGGCCAGGGATAAGACAGGGAGCAAAACCAGATGTGATCCTAACACTTTGGAACTGAGAGGGGGTGGGGGGCACATTACTTTTATAACCATGCCATATAGGAAGAATATGGCCTGCTCAAAGATCTGGCTTCCCCATCAACCCCCTCTCCTGGGCAGTAACCTCTAAACTCCTGGAATTTCCTGAGTGATATAAGTGTCTTTGTTATTCATGATGAGCCTTTACATCACACCTGATAGTTTACTTAAGAAGTTTCTTGGGGTGGGAACAATCACCCTCAATAGTTTTAGGGTAGAAGCTGGCCACAGCCACAAAGCCAGAAAGGCTTAAGAGGTAGTTCAACAAGATAGGCAATCATTTATGCTTATTAATGAACCTCAATAAAAACTTCGTACCCTGGAGCTCAGGTGAGCTTCCCTGGTGGACAATACTCTGTGCATATTGCAAAACATAGATGCTAGGATGGTAATGCATCCTGAGGACAATAGAAGCTTCACGTCTGGAAACTTCCCAGACTCTGTCCTGTGTGTCTCTTCCAACTTCGGCTTGTTCTAATTTGTACTCTTTCCATATAATAAATGTAACCATCAGTATAACACATTTCAGTGAGTTGTGAATTTCTCTAGCAAATTATTGAAACCGAGGGTGTCTTTGGAAAACTCTGGAACATGTAGTTGGTATAAGAAGTCTTAGGCAGATTTAGTCTAGAGGAAGCTGAAGACTGAACAGGAATTAAATGGCTGGAGGGAATGAGGTGGTCATCAGACAAATAGGAAATATGAGTTCTGAATCTGAGGAACTGCAAGAAAGCCAAAGCAAAAATGTAAAAAAGAAAAAGGGAATTTGATGTAAAGTGGTCTTTCAAAAATATTTACTGTTTTCTCTAATAATGGAAGTTTTACAGCCTATTGGAATATATCCTTTTTCTATCTGTGTATCTCTGCCTCTGTTCACTCTTTTCTTTTTTAAACACAATTAGGACCATACAACGTATGTAGCACTGTATCATGGTCTTTTTCAATTAAGTCTGTAAGCTGAATATTTTGCCTACTTTATTAAATCTTCTTGGGAAATACGATCTTTTGAGTCTAATTTACATAGAGTCATAAAGTAAGATCTGACATGAAGTCTGAGCAGAAATTAAGTAGGGAAAGGGAGACGAGTTTGAGAAACAAATAAGAACAGTACAACACTGTATGTGTAATATTACAGGTACAATTTCATACAGTTTGATCCCATATGTGTTTATATGTGTATTAGAAAGTAGTGCGGGGGCTACTCACCAAAATCTTACTTGGTAGTGATCAGAGTTGGGACTAGGGTGGGCTACTGAGGTGCCTTGGACGCACACGTAAGGAGATGCTGCTCACGCTCAGGTCATGCAAGTGCAGAGGCTGCACCTGAGCTTGAGAGCCTCCTTCAGTGTTGTGTCCTAGAGGCCCCACTTGCCTCACCTGAGCCTGGCCTTGGTAGGGACCTAGAACTGTTGGATCATGGGCACTTTCCTCTTCTTATTTTTCATTTAGAAGATACATGTTCAGCTTCCTGCTACCCGGGTTGTGGTACATGTATCAGCAGCATTAGGATCACCTGGGAGCTTGTTTGAAATGCAGAAGCTCAGCCCTGCAAGGACCTTCTGAATGAGAATCTTTAGTTTTACTGAATCCCAGGAGATTTGTATGCCCACTGAAGTTTGAGAAGCACTGGGCTAGTAGGTAACAAGCACAGTTCCTATCCTCTTACGGAAGTAATATTCAGAGACAACTGATGTCATTACTCCCAATAGGTGGGACATTCTCTGCTAGGATTGTCTACTGAAAGGCTGAACTCAACTGGTGAAGCAATCGCAGATCAGCCTAATGGAGGAGAAGCAAGTGACTCCTTTGGTACAAACAATTTGAAGCAGTATTTAGAGAAAAGGGTCTGAAACTTGGGAAAAGAACAAGATGAAAAAATGCTAATATTCAAACCAAGTAACTAAAGTCCCATGGAGATGAACAATAACTTAGTATACTATAAGGGTGTATTTTACCAGAGTTTCTAGAGAAATCTGCTATAAAACTGAGAAGCTTGGATTAGGTGAGTTATATTATAATTATAATTGTATGAAAGAAGAGATAATATAGAATAAAAATATGAAGGATTGACTTTGTTTAGTGTTCCCATTAACCAGAAGTCAATTAATAAGGGTACTGCTATATGTCAGTTTTCCATTTAGATTAGTAAATTAGATTAAAAGAGAACAGCAAAGAAATATATACTACCATGACAGACATTACTGGCTGGATAGCCCAATATCCATTCCCAACCCCTTTCTTTCTTGCCTGCCTCCATTACAGAGCATAAAAAAGCTGAATACATGCTTTCCCTGCAAGGGTGGCCACATGATGCAGTTCTGGCCAGCGAGATTTCTGTGGAGGTCTCTAGAAACTATGGAGCAGACACCACTCTTGCCAGAATGGATTCAGAGTGATCTTTCCCGGGTTTCGAGTAGGGTGAGGTGAGCAAGACACTTGCCATGGTAAAAAAACTTATAAGGGTGGCAAAAACTCAGTAATCAAGATAGTATTTTTTAAAATAAAAATTGATATACACAAAAATCCATTATGAACAAAATATCAATATCTAAAATAAAGGCAGGATGTAAACATAATGTTCCTCATGTAACTGTAGATTAATGACACCAAAAAAAGAAAAAAGGTAGGATCTTACAACACTAGTATTAGTTAAAGTGAGGCAAATGAGGCTGAGTCTGAGCATAGGGTCAGATCACCCTGGTTTCCAAATCAGAGTCTTGGGTGTGTATAAGTGATTAGAAGAACTTAGGTTTTGTGCTGTGAAAAACTGACATGACTGGAGCTATTTTAAAATGGAGAATGTATTGCCATTGGAGAGAAACCGACTTCCCTTCCTGTGTTTGAACTGGGCCCAAACCTTGACTGGGCAAAACAACAATTGTTTGAGAAGTAAGCTGCAGAATGGACATTCTAATCACAGGTCTGATGGTTGTGTACTTCCTGAAGATAGAGTCAGTAGTAAATCAATGCATAACCCAGAGTAGCTTAGCTTATTAAAACCCATAAAAACCTTTTTTTTTCTCTTCTTAACTCATGCAATTGCCCCCACCCCACCTTCTCATAAAGACCTCTTGCTTTTGCATTACAAGTGAGAGCATCATTTGAAGATCTGTGCTCCCCAAATTGCAATTCTTTGACCCCAAATAAATACTCACTTCCCTCTCACTATGGCTGTTTATTTTCAGGTTGACAGTGCCCACTCCCTAGCTGCAAGGGAGTCTAGAAGAGGGGCTATTTGGAATTTTCAGTTTTGATAGACGTGGGAAACACATAAAAGGGATTCAAGAGCTGAGGAGGTCAGAAAGAATGAAAAATGTCCACTACACTTATTGGTAAATGGTAAAATGTCATTATGTGGGTCCATGTAAGGAGAGCAGCATATTCTGGCCAGGCTATTTTGAGGAAAACTTGAGTATTTATTACAGTTGTGGTACAGATAAATTAATGTAGGACTACAGAGAGCTGAGTATGAAATCCCTCTTCTGAAAGTGGCAGGATTCCAAGGAGAAGATAAGGTTTAAGAATGGCTTTAGGGGAATGAAGGGGGAAAGCAGAAAGAATATTGGATTTGCAGTTAGAAAATGGGGTTTCCTGCTTTGCTATTTGCCTTACTAGCTGTGAGAATTTAGGGAAGTCATTTTGCTTCTCTGAGCATTAGTTATTTTATGTATAAAACCTCATCCAATGTGACCTTCCAATGTTGTGAGGATCAACAGAGATTAAATGTGGTTGTAAACCGAAAAGCACTATGCAAACATCTTGCCCAGTTATTAAGTCTTAATGGTTCTGTGGGACTTTGACAAAAGGCATTAGGGAAGAATTGGGCCTCTGGGCAGGGAGAATGAATGGTGAAGTGGTTTTTGTATGAGGGTAGACAAAAAGAATCTGGGCTGTGAAGACTAGAAAAAAAATGAAAGCAGTCAAAGAAGGCCTGTTTTTAAGACCATTAATGAAACAAAGCCTGGGACCCAAAGTTTGAAGCACAAATCAGAGCCTATGGTTTTACAAATAGTTACACAAAAGAATGAAGCCCCGTAATATCACAGCACCTAATGAATGACTTGCACGCATACTTCATTTGCTCCTTAGACGGCCCCTCGGAAAAGCAGGCAGAGACCAGTCTTATTCACCTTTGAGGAGCCTGACACGCACTGTGCTCCATTTTCAAGGAATGAGTGAGTGTCCAAATACTTGGGAGCCCCCTACCCGAAAGGGGGATACAGACTAAGTATTTGGGGAGCCTTGAAAATCAGGTTCTTCTGTGCACACTGGGACACACTCCCGGCAGTAGTCCAATGTCCAAATCCATGAGAGCTCATCGGATCCCAAGGTTAGGCATGTTAATCAAGGAAATCATAGGTGGGGTCGAGGGTTCCAGCAGACCTATCACTAGAATGGTTGAAAATGAAGGGAAAGTGAGGGATGAGGACTGTACAGGAAAAATTTCACAGCGCTAGTTACGTGGGAGCATGTGTACACACACACGCACACACACGCGAATGAGTGCATGACAAACTGGTTATATCTGAGTAAGGTCTGCAAACTGTGTAATTGTATTGGTCTAGTTAATTGTGCCAGTGTCAGTTTCCTGGTTTTGATAGTGTAGTTATGTAATATGTTGGGGGAAACTCGCTATGTGATGAGTATATGGGGCCACATTGTACTAATTTTGCAAATCTTGTGAGTCTATAATTAGTTCAAAATAAAAAGTAAAAAAAAAAAAACCAACAAAACAACAAAAAAGAAGGGGACCTCTCCGAGTAGCCTCCACGCTTCACACTTTCGTCCTCAACCGGGCCTCGCCAGCTCAGACAGGGCGGGGAGGGGTGTGCGAGGGGCGGGGGCGGGGCCGCGCACGCGCAGCCCTGAAATCCCCTGACGCGGCGCCGGGAGGTCACGCTTGCGCAGTCTCAGTCCCTGGCTGCTGTGCCAGCTTCGCCCCGCGGCGGGCACCAGGCTACCTTGGCCCTTCTGCGCTGCCGTCTTTTCCGGCAGTTGGGGTGCTTCCTGTTGTCCTCTCCCGCAACTGCCCTCGGCCCCTGCAGAGCCCCTTAGCGGCTCCTCCCTTCTGGTCCTCTGGCTGCTGCCGCTCGGGCTTCGCCCGTCTGTACGTCGAGACCGCTGGCGGGGCCGGCGTCTGCGGCTGTCCGCCGCCCCCAGCCTTCCCCGAGGCTCTGGTGAGTGTGTTGCTGCGGCTGTTTTCAGTCCTTTTCAGGTTTTTTCCTTCATCTCCTCCTCCCACGACTCTGTGCGGCTCTCTCGTTCCGCCTGGCTGCCTCGTTCCCGCACTACCTCTTGGCTTCTCGGCCGCCCTTTTCAGCCTCCAGACCGGCCCCCTCCGCCCGGCTTCCGCAGCGTCCCAGTTGGTCCTGTTCATATTTTCCCATTCCAGGCTCCCCGCCGCGTCCGTTCTCTTCCTTCGCGTGCTGTTGGCGCTGCGAGCCGGGCTCTCTTCTCCTTTCCATGCTGCCAGCTTTGCTCGCTGCCACCGCACCTTCCCCTCCGTATCTCGGCCTTTACAGTTTCCACCTTCTTTTCTTTCTTTCCTTGGGTCTAAGAACCTGAGAGCTGTTATGTGAGGAAAGATGTCGAAAGCCCACCTTGGGGCGTGGTACCTTTGACTCTGCCTCCTTCCTCATTGTTTGTCTTAGTGTCTTGGGCTTCCGATACTCTTAAATCACAAGGACATTTAGTGAAGGCTATTAGAGTAGAAAAGGAAAGTCGATAAAGACTTAGAGGAAAGTCTGTGTCGGAAGGTGTGCTGAATGGCCAGTAGGGTTTTCCCGGTTGCAACTTTGAACCGACTAAAAGACACGCAGAGAAACTAGTTCTTTTTGAAATGCACAGACCTTGTGCTTCCAGTTCCCTTTAGCGCACCTTGGCTCTGAATTAGAATTAGCCAGGTGATAGATGGGGTTTCCCTAAACATAAAACTACTACCACCTCAAATAAGTAAAATAAAATAACTGCCACAATAACAGGCGCCACTCTCCACTCCAAACACTACATATCGGCTTCCTCCTTAAGTGTGGGAAATCTATCCTCCAACTTTATAGAAAACCATTCTGCTTCTAACCCTATATTCCCATCACACATCCATATTCTCACCTCCTAGTAGTGGACTAAAAAACCAGTGTTTTCCTAGTAGATCTTTTATATATAAAAGTAGATCTTTTATGTATACTTCCCAAATGCATAGCATTGTGCATGATGCATGAGTTGGGGGAAGGATATTAAAAGTCGTATAAGATAGGGTGGGTGCTTGCTTTCCTGTAGGAGAGATTAGGAGATCCAGTTAAGCAGGAAAAATTAGTATGTGACTCTTAATGAATAGTCTTAACCCCAGTGTTTATTTGTCCAAATGAAAGACATTGGATATTAGAGGAATTAAACAGTGGGTGAGAAAAGGGGTATTGATAGAGATAACAGTCACTGTAAAGTCAGTCAATGAGGCATAACTAGATTGAATAATAGGTTTTCAGCTGATCCCCCTTTATGCTTGCAGTATCTAATTCTGACTTATGAGGATCACATTATTTTGCTAAGTTTTTTAAACTTTTAAGAATTTCTCACTTAACGTATTTATTCTCTAAATGCAGAGTTGGAGAATAAAACAAAGAGGGCAGGGGCTTCTAATGGCCTCAGGCTAGGATGGGAAGGCTTGCATTACCAAAATCAGGAGGGAAAGCCCTGTCTTACAAAAGGTGTTTAGTTGACCCGGTAAACGGATAAATTGCTCTAGGGCCACAGTAATTGTATCTCCTGATGAAAGGTTTTAGAATTAGGCTAACTCTTTTGGGAGGCAGAAGAGGAGGATGAGGTTTTGAAGAAAGGTCTAGGGAAAGAGTGGTGTGCAGTCTTTGCCATTACATTAGAGACTGTGAAGGTCGAAAACCATTCTGCTACAAAATTTGTTGGCCAACTACAGGAACATCTTTTGGTTGCACTTAATTTCCTGTTATCTTTTAAAAGTTTAGAAAGTCATGCCAGCGACTTAAATAAGCCAAAACTTATTCCCCCCCGTTTTACATACTTATCAACGTAAATATAATTGTTCTTTAGCTTTGTTGACAATTGAAAAATCATAAATTACTCATTGTACATTTATTAAGGGCTTATTATGTGGAAGGCACTGTTTGTTTTAGGCTTAAACACTAGTTGTATTTTTATGTTGAAATAATTTCAGTTGTTAAAATGTAACTACACACACACATGCACAGACACACACACAGACACACACAGGTTCTCCAGAAATGTTCAGATAAGGGAGGAGGACAGACTTGTTTTTAAATCTGGTTTTAAAATTTCTTCACCAAACTTAAGAGTGCATGTGGTTTCCATTGTGGGTGGAGTGGGGTGGGTACAGACTAACAAATAAGGAACCACACCCAAACTTCATAAACCAGAGGTTTTTTTTAACAATTCTGATAGCCTGAAAACATTTGAGTTTGCCTTGGTATTAGCAGAAATTTCCCCATGAAAAATAACATTTTATAGTAAGGTAGAGCTGAGTTCAATGTCTTGAATTTATGATTCTGATCATTTTGGCACGTCATGAATCAAAATGTTTGAAGAAAGGATTTGATTTTGAATTTCTTTGCTCTGAAAGGATTATTTTTATGTGCTTTTTCCCTGAGTTCTTTTAATAAAAGTGCTTAATATTAAGCCTTTTTTCTTAGTATTAGCAAGTGTTTGCACATTCCTTAAAAAGCTATAGGTTAATCTACAAAACAAAAAACTGCAAAGCATTAAGTGAAAACCTTAGGAAGACTTTTCATGAAATACACTATGTTTGAAAATGGCTCATGGCCTCTCCTGATTTTTACTCAGCTTTATGTTGGGGTGAAAAGAGGTAGGTTATGTGGGAGGAAGGCATGATAAGGAGAAAATATTGAGCATTATTGCCAGTGCTGGAGCAAGTCAGGGTTGGTGAACAATCTGGCCAAGTTTGATAGTGTAGGTTGGCACAAACATCTGGGTGAAAATGAGATGTAAATTTAGTAAATAATGTTCTGTAAGCTGTTTGAACTTTGTTGGTATGGGTTTTCTTATATGTAAAACTAGGAAGTTAGGGTCCCTTGTTTTTAAGGGACTAAAATTATGATTTAGGTTTTTTCTTTTTAATACTGTTTCCATCATAGATCTTTGTTTTAACTTGTAAATTCAAATAGACAACATTTATCAAATACTGTAAGGCATGTCAGAACACATATGTATCTATAAATGAGTATTTTATTCATAGACTTTTTAAATTGTAAAAATTGTAGGTTTTTAAGTTATTGGTAACTTAATGGTAGTAGTACATGCTCATTTAAGAAAATTTAGAAAGTAACATTTTGGTATATATGGAATTCTAAAAATTCTGTGCATATACGGTAAACATAAACAAAATTGAGCTCATGATGCACATTCTGTTTTGTAATCTCTTTTCACTTAAGATTGGAGACATTTCCTCTGACACTAAGTGTTTCTGCATATTTTAATTGTCTGTATATAATTTAATTACAGAATTTTTTTCATAGTTTAATCAGTCCTGTTGTTAGATATTCAAGTTATTTCTAGTTTCTTTTGTCATTTGCAAGGCTGCATTGAACCTCCTTGTGTATGAATCATGGGAAGTCCTAAATGGTGTATTCATAAATGGCAAAGAATTGTACTGTGTCTATATTGTATAATTCTAATTATGCATATAATACTGTGATCTTTTTCTCTTCCTTTTTCAAGATACATCACTATGTTTTAAAGATACACTCATGTTGCTTATAGGTGCAGGTAGATTTGCTTCTACCTGCTGCATGGTATTTCTTTGTATGCAATCATAGCATTTTCTTTTTTTTTCTTTCCTGAGTTTGCTCCAACTTCCCACAACGCAAATGATGGCATAATAAATATCCTCTGTAATGCACATCTTTGTGCATATCCCCTTTAGAGTTTTTGCAACAATTTTTCTAAGCTTTTTACTTATGGATGGTAATTCTAGGTTATAGAACATTAATATATATCTGTATTCCCCAAGTATCCTGTTTGTCTATCTTTTGTTATATATTGTTTGTCCTCCAGAACACTTGTACCGATTTACATTCCTACCAGTAGGGTAGGAGAGCACATAATTGGAGGATTCTAACTTCAAGACTAGTACCTCTTCCTTTGTTTGTTTCTAGCAGCCATGGCAATGACGGGCTCAACACCTTGCTCCTCCATGAGTAATCACACAAAGGAAAGGGTGACAATGACCAAAGTGACACTGGAGAATTTTTATAGCAACCTTATTGCTCAACATGAAGAACGAGAAATGAGGTAAAGAATTTTGTTTGAGAAAATTGGGTTATGGTGTTGGCATTCATGGCTAGAATCGTAAGACACATAATATAAGTGAAAGGAGACAAGAATAGCAGCACCTATGTTATAGCCTATTCCTTTACAATGGAATGACTGTCATTGATTTCTAAAGCCCTTGCTATTAATCCACTTATTTCTAGTACTAGTTAATAACACAAAACTCCATGGTAGTTGTGGGTAAAATTGTAACATTTCCAGAGTATCTCACCTGGTTTTAGTGCATTTGCATATCCTCAGGGGTGGAGAGAAGTTAATCTCCATGTCAATGGGTAATTACCTGGGCAACCGAGGGCGTGTCTGAACCTGAGAGTTTAAGGGGGGGGGCTGGCTTGCTTGCTGGCTGGCTTCTTCCAGAGCAGGGGAGGGAGAGACCGCACTGTACTGCAGTTTGTAAGCAATAAATGGGTTTTAAACTTTATTTCTCCCTTTGACTGATGCGTTTTTTAGAGGTGTTTTGCCCTGGGATTTCCTCTCCCCAGACTTACAGTAGTATAAAAAATTGTGCCAAATTCTTAGAGTTCATTGTTAAAGCAGTGTGATATAATGGAAAGAGCACCCCTTATGGAGTTAGACCTGGGTTTAGAATCGTGCCATTATCATTTAGTAGCTGTATGAGGCTGGAACAAGTTCCTTAGTCTGTGTATCAGTTCCGCCATGTGGAAAATGGGGATAAATACTACTTGCCTTACAGGTTTGCTCTGGAGATTAGGTAAACATACATGAGTACCCACCATAGGGCTTCACACATAGTAATCACTTAGTTTATGGTAGTGGTAGCAGTTATAGTATGAACTATCCATGTAGTAACTCATAGTTAAAAATTTTTTCCTGACATTTTATGATGAAGATATTCAGTAGTACAGAAAAGTTGAAAAAATTGTACAGGAATACCTGTATATTTGCTATCTAGATTCTGTAATTATCATTTACTGTTTTGTCACATATCCGTCTTATCTATTCCTATCCATTCATTAACTCATCTTAATTTTTTGCTTCAAAAGTATATTGCAGGCTCCTGATTATTTCTGCTTGTATAACAAACTAGAGTTCAGTATTTATTTTTTAAGGGAATGTAAAATTTGCATGCAATAACATGTACAATCTTAAGGGTACCCAGTCAATCAGTTTCGACAAATGCTCACACCTGTGCAAACTTAAACCCCTGTCAAGGCATAAAACATTACCATTTTCCCAGAAATGTTTTCATTCCCAGAGATGCTCCTTCAGCCCCAGGCAATCACTGTTGTGATTTTGTTTCTACCGTAGGTTAATCTTCCCTATTCTATACAAATGGAACATGTAAATAGATTCATATAGTAAGTACTCATTTGACTAAGGCATTTTCAGTCAGCCTGATGTTTTCAGATTTCATCCATGTTACTTTGTATCAATAGTTTGTTCTTTTGTATTGCTGAGTACCATTTTGTTCTCTGACTACCTCTGTTTATACATTCTATTGATAAACATCTGGGGGTTTTTTTTGGCTATTTTGAATAAGTTTCTATAGATGTGTATACAGATCTTTCCTGTGAATGTTTCTTTTCAGTTCTTTGATATATATTTTGGAGTGGAATTGCTGGGGCATAAACACAGATGGGTATATATTTAGTTTTATAAGAAACTGTTAGACCTTTTTCTATAATATTGCCAACAGTGTATGAGAGCTCCAATTGCCTTACATTTTTGCTAACATTTGTGTTGTCTGTCTTCTCACTTTAGCTCTTAGATGCTTACTGGTATCTCACCGTTGTTTTAATTTGCAGTTTCCTGATGATTAATGATGAACATTTTTCAATGTGCTTTTGGCCGTTTGTGTATATTCCTTTGTGAAGTGTTGGAATTTTTTGGCCATTGAGTTGTATTAGTTCTCTATATATATCCTAAATATTGGTCTTTTGCCATGTATGTTTTGCACATAGTTTCTCCCATTCTGTGGCTTTCCTGTTCATTTCTTAACAATGTCCTTAGATGAGTAGAAGTTTCAAATTTTGATTAAGTTTAACTTTGCATTTTTTCTTGTATAGTTAATTGCATTCTGTGACCTCTAAGAAATCTATGCCTGCCTCAAAGTCATAAAGATATTCTCCTATGTTTTCTTGTGAAGTTTTATATATTTAGTTGTTACATTTAGTTCTGTGATTCATCTTGAATTAATAAGTGTGTGTGTTAAGAGGTAGGGGTTGAGATTTAGTTTTTTTCTTTCGAATATCCGCTTATTTTAGTACCATCTGTTGGAAAGATTTTCTTTTCTTGGTTAGATGGTTTGGTGACTTTAGTTGAAAATCAAATACTGTATAAGTGTGTCTCTATTTCTGGGCTCTCTGGTCATTAATCTATTTGTCTTTCCCTATGGTGGTATCTCACTGTCTCAATTACTATAGATGTGTGGTAAGTTCTGAAGTCATATAGTGTAAGTTCTCAACTTTGTTCTTTTTTTTCCTCAAGATTGCTTTGGATATTTTAGGTTCTTTGAATTTCCATATAAATATTAGACTGAGCTTTGTCAATTCTACAGAAGAGCCTGATTACAGAAGGAATTATGATTGTAATTATATTGAATCTGTAGGTCAAGTTGGGAAAGAATTGACATTTTAACAATATTGAATCTCCTGGTGCATGGATATGGTATATTCTTCTATTTTGTTAGGTTTTTAATTTTTCTTAGCAGTGTTTTGTAGTTTTTAGTGTGCAGGTCTTACATGTCTTCTGTTCATCTATTCCTAGTATTTTGGGGTTTTTTTGATGCTAGTGTTAAGTAGATATTTAAATTTTCATTTTTCAGTTTGCTGCTTGCATATAGAAATAAAACTGAACTTTGTATATTGACCTTAAATCTGTGACTTGCTGATTTTCATATATTATAGTAGCTTTTTAAAGATTCCTTAAGGTTTTCTATGTAAACAATCGTGTCATATTCAAATAGAGAATTTTACCTCTTCCTTTCCAATCTATATACTTTTTCTTTCTTTAGGTGCAGTGTTGAATTTAAGTGGTAGGAATAGGTTTGTGTTTTTCCTGATTTACTGGGGAAAGCACTCAACTATTTCATTGTTGTGATGTTAACGGTAGGCTTTCTAAGGTGTTCTTTTTAGGTTGGGGAAGTATCCTTACGTTCTTATTTGGTTGAGAGTTTTTATTGTGAGTGGGAGTTGAATTTTGTCAAATGCTTTTTCTGCATTTTGAAATGATCACATTGTTTTTCTCCCATATTCTTTTAATATGGGGAATTACATGCATTGAATTTTGAATATTAAATTAACCTTGCATTCCTGGAGTAGAATCCTCTTGGTCTTATTGTATTACTATTTTTACATGTTGCTGGATTTGACATGCTCATTTTTTTTTAAGACATTACATTTTTATTTTTCTGAGTCAATGTCCATTCATATTATACTCACATATTTACCTTTTCTGTTGCTCTTCATTACTTTCTTCAATTTCATGTTTCCCTCTGGGTTCATTTTCTTCATATCTGAAGAACTCTCTTTAGTATTTTTTTTTTAGTGCCGATTTGCTGATAATCTCCCTCATTTGTTTGCCTAGAAAACATCTTTATTTTGCTTTGATTTTTGAAGTGCAGGTATGGAATTCCACACTGCAAGTATGGAATTATACATTGGCTGTTATTTTCTATTAATATTTTAAAGATATCAGTTTGCTGTGTTCTGACTCCCATCATTTTTATTGAAAAGTCAGCTGTAAATCTTTTTTTTGCCCCTTTTTTCTTGGGGCTGCTTTTAAGATTCCTCTTCTTTTGTCTTTGGTTTCACCAGTCTTACTGTGATCTATATTGGTGTGGTTTTCTTTGTGTTTGTTCTGCCTGGAATGCACAGAACTTGAATCTTGGGGTTTTTATCTTTCATCAGTTTTAGGAATTTCCTGGCTGTTACCTTCTCAATTGCTGCTTCTACCTCATTCCCTGCCCCTTTTCCTTTTAGGATTCTAATTACGCATATATTATATCGTTTAACTCAGTCCTGTGTATTCTAAATGCTCTTTCCTAGGTTTTTCTTTCCCTATGTTTTGGTTTCTTTCTTTCTGTGTGTTGTTTCTTTAAGTTATAGATATTACTGTTCACTGATCCTATATTCTGTTGTATCTACTCTGCCTCTTTTTTTAAAAAAATTTTTTATTAAGGTATGATTGATACACATTCTTATGAAGGTTTCACATGAAAAAACAATGTGGTTACTACATTTACCCATATTATCAAGTCCCCACCCATACCCCGATGCAATCACTGTCCATCAGTGCAGCAAGTTGCCAGAGATCCACTCTGTCCCTTTTCTGTGATACACTGTTCTCCCCGTGATCCCCCACACCATGTGTACTAAACATAATACCCCTCAGTCCCCTTCTCCTTCCCTCCCCACCCGCCCTCCCATACCCCTCACCTTTGGTAACCACTAGTTCATTCTTGGAGTCTCTGAGTCTGCTGCCATTTTGTTCCTTCAATTTTGCCTCATTGTTATACTCCATAAATGAGGGAAATCTTTTGGCATTTGTCTTTCTCCGCCTGGCTTATTTCACTGAGCATAATGTCCTCCAGCTCCATCCATGTTGTTGCAAATGGCAGGATTTGTTTCTTTCTTATGGCTGAATAGTATTCCATTGTATATATGTACCAAATCTTCTTTATCCATTCATCTACAGATGGACACTTAGGTTGCTTCCATATCTTGGCTATTGTAAACAGTGTTGCGATGAACATAGGGGTTCATATGTCTTTTTGATTCTGAGAAGTTGTATTCTTTGGGTAAATTCCAAGGAGTGGGATTCCCAAGTCAAATGATATTTCCATTTTTTTAGTTTTTTGAGGAATCCCCATATTGCTTTCCACAATGGTTGAACTAGCTAACATTCCCACCAGCAGTGTAGGAGGGTTCCCCTTTCTCCGCATCCTTGCCAACATTTGTTGTTGTTAGTCTTTTAGATGCTGGCTCTCCTTACTGGTGTGAGGTGATACCTCATTGTGGTTTTAATTTGCATTTCCCTGATGATTAGTGATGTGAAGCATCTTTTCATGTGTCTATTGGCCATCTGAATTTCTTCTTTGGAGAACCGTCTCTTCATATCCTCTGCCTATTTGTTAATCAGGTTATTTGGGTGCTGAGGTGTGTAAGTTCTTTATATATTTTGGATGTTAACTCCTTGTTGGATATGTCATTTACAAATATATTCTCCCATACTGTAGGATGCCTTTTTGTTTTGTTGATGATGTCCTTTGCCGTACAAAAACTTTTTAGTTTGATGTAGTCCCATGAGTTCATTTTTGCTTTTGTTTCCCTTTCTCGAGGAAATGGGTTCAGGAAGAAGTTGCTCATGCTTATATTCAGGAGATGTTCACCTTTGTTGTCTTCAAAGAGTTTTATGGTTTCATGACTTACATTCAAGTCTTTAATCCATTTCGAGTTTACTTTTGTGTATGGGGTTAAACAATAATCCAGTTTCATTCTCTTGCATGTACCTATCCAGTTTTGCCAACATTCAGCTGTTGAAGAGGCTGTCATATCCCCATTGTATGTCCATGGCTCCTTTATCACATATTAATTGACCATATATGCCTGGGTTTATATCTGGGCTCTCTAGTCTGTTCCATTGGTCTATGGGTCTGTTCTTGTGCCAGTACCAAATTGTCTTGATTACTGGGGCTTTGTAGTAGAGCTTGAAGTTGAGGAGCGTAATTCCCCTTGCTTTATTCTTCCTTCTCAGGATTGCTTTGACTATTTGAGGTCTTTTGTGTTTCCATGTGAATTTTAGGACAATTTTCTCTTATTTGTTGAAGAATGCTTTTGGTATTTTGATAGGAATTGCATTGAATCTATAGATTGCTTTAGGCAGGATAGCCATTTTGACAATATTAATTCTTCCTATCCATGAGCACGGGATGTGTTTTCATTTACTGGTATCTTTTTTAATTTCTCTCATGAGTGTCTTGTAGTTTTCAGAGTATAGGTCTTTCACTTCCTTGGTTAGGTTTATTCCTAGGTATTTTATTCTTTCTGATGCAGTTGTGAATGGAATTGTTTTCCTGATTTCTCTCTCTGCTAGTTCATTGTTAGTTTATAGGAATGCCACAGATTTCTGTGTATTAATTTTGTATCCTGCAACTTTGCTGCATTCAGATATTAGATCTAGTAGTTTTGGAGTGGATTCTTTAGGGTTTTTTAATGTACAATATCATCTCATCTGCAAATAGGGACAGTTTAAGTTCTTCCTTGCCAATCTGGATGCCTTTTATTTCTTTGTGTTGTCTGATTGCCATGGCTAGGACGTCCAGTATTATGTTGAATGGAAGTGGGGAGAGTGGGCGTCCTTGTCTTGTTCCTGATCTTAAAGGAAAAGCTTTCAGCTTCTTGCTGTTAAGTATAATGTTGGCTGTGGGTTTGGCTGTGGGTTGGCCTTTATTATGTTGAGGTACTTGCCCTCTATATGCGTTTTGTTGAGAGTTTTTATCATGAATGGATGTTGAATTTTGTCAGATGCTTTTTCAGCATCTATGAAGATGATTGTGTAGTTTTTGTCCTTCTTTTTGTTTATGTGGTAGATGATGTTGATGGATTTTCAAATGCTGTACCATTCTTGCATCCCTGGCACAAATCCAACTTGATCATGATGGATGATCTTTTTGATGTATATTCGAATTCGGTTTGCTAATATTTTGTTGAGTATTTTTGCATTTATGTTCATCAGTGATATTGGTCTGTAATTTTCTTTTTTTGTGGTGTCTTTGCCTGGTTTTGGTATTAGAGTGATGCTGGCCTCATAGAATGAGTTTGGAAGTATTCCCCGCTCTTCTATTTTTTGGAAAACTTTAAGGATAATGGGTATTAGGTCTTCACTAAATGTTTGATAAAATTCAGCATTGAAGCCATCTGGTCCAGGAATTTTGTCCTTAAGTAGGTTTTTGATTACCAGTTCAATTTCATTGCTGGTAATTGGTCTGTTCAGATTTTCTGTTTCTTCCTTGGTCAGCCTTGGAAGGTTGTATTTTTCTAGTAAGTTTTCCATTTCTTCTAGTTTATCTAGTTTGTTGGCATACAGTTTTTCATAGTATTCTCTAATAATTCTTTGTATTTCTGTGGTGTCTGTTGTGATTTTTCCTTTCTCGTTTCTGATTCTGTTGATGTGTGTAGACTCTCTTTCTTTCTTGATAAGTTTGGCTAGGGGTTTATCTATTTTGTTTATTTTCTTGAAGAACCAGCTCTTGGCTTTCATTGATTCTTTCTATTGTTTTATTCTTCTCAATTTTATTTATTTCTGCTCTAAAATTTATTATGTCCCGCCTTTTACTGACTTTGGGTCTCATTTGTTGTTCTTTTTCTAGTTTCATTAATTGTGAGTTTAAATTGCTTATATGGGATTGTTCTTCTTTCTTGAGGTAGGCCTGTATTGCAATATACTTTCCTCTTAGCACAGTCTTGGCTGTGTCCCACAGATTTTGCAGTGTTGAATTATTATTGTCATTTGTCTCCATATATTGCTTGATCTCTGTTTTTATTTGGTCATTGATCCATTGGTTATTTTGGAGCATGTTGTGAAGCCTCCATGTGTTTGTGGGATTTTTCATTTTCTTTGCATAATTTATTTCTAGTTTCATATTGATATGCTAATATTTTGCTAAGGATTTTTGCAGTCACTTTCTTCATAAGGGTATAAGTCATAATTTACATAGGATATATGATTTGACCTTAAATACACAGGTCTGTATGAATAATAACAAGATTTATTATATATAGCTGCTAGAACAGATAAGTGCCTGCACAGTGCTTTTTGTTTGGTTCATGGGGAATTTAGAGGCACACCTGGCACAGTATATCTCTAGGCATGTGAAACCTGTTGGAGATAGTTATTTTCAAGGACACCACTCTTGAAATCAGAGCTCTGATGTTATAGTTACAAACCAAATTCTTAAGAGTTCTGATTAAGTTACTTGTGTTATTTGATAATAACCAGATAGTTTTTAATCCTACTGGTTCTGCCCTTTGGTTCATCATTGAGATATATCACATTATCCAGGAACAATATGATCTATGGTTTTATTTATAATAGTATTGTTACCTTGTGATATACACTAAAAATGCACCCAAAATGGATTGAAATTAGGGCTTTTTTTGTCTTGGATTCTTATCATCTTAATCCATAGATTTGTAATATCATTTCTAACAGTATACTCATTTTAACTAAATACTATTACTGTAATAAATATCCATTGATGATAGATGTGTGGTAAATTTTAAAGTCATATAGTGTAAGTTCTCAACTTTGTTTTTTTTCCTCAAGATTGCTTTGGATATTTTATGTTCTTTGAATTTCCATATAAATATTAGAATGAGCTTTGTCAGTTTTCATTTCTTCCCATTTTCTCTGATTCTTCTTTATTTGTTTAGTGGCATTATCCTCCCACATGAGAAGTTTCAAGACTTATTCCCTTGACTCTGTTGCCAGTTGATCATCTTTGGCATAGCTCTGTTCACCTCATTCTAGGTTTCCAGTCCTGGTTATAGATTTAATTTTTAATTGTGGTATAGTTGATATACACTCTTATATTGATTTCAAGTATACCTAGTTTGAGATCTTTAATGCATATCAGAATAATTTTGATAGTCTTTGTCTGTTGCTTTCCCTGCCAGTCCATCAGCTCATTATTGCTGGCTGCCATTCTAAAATAGAAATCTTGTCTTCCTTGCTCCTTTGTGCACAAGGCTCTGTTAGCTCTTCACTGTCCAGAGATTAAGAGTCAACCTTCTTCTGTGGCATTTGAAGTGCCCCAGCCACACTAGATTACATGCTGTTGCTTCATGTACCTCGAACTTTTATTCTTCCCTGCCCTGCTCACATTGCCTATTATCTGGAATGCTGATAAGTGATAGCAGAAGAGATTCCAGCCCATGTGCTTTAATTTATTATGCTGAATAAATAAAGATTGTCTGTAATTGGTTGTAAGGCAGTTTTACCTATTTCTTTTAGTTTTATCAAATCAATATGAGACTGTCCGTCAAAAATAGTCTTGGATGCAGTGTCTGAAGTTCAATACTCCAAGGATAGAGTCAAGTTTTAATAGTGGTACCCATCACCTTTTCTGATCATTTTCACCCCCTTGAGTCTCCAAATGCTGTCTTTACTTTGCTGTTTATTACTCTTTGCTTGCGGCAGGGAGAAGGAAGAAGATGTGAAAATAAAAGAAGTAGATTTCACTCAGGGAGAGGGAGGGAGAGAAACACCCTGATATAAGAGGTTATCAAACATGAGCTGTTCAGTGGGTTTTTTTTAAGGAGGAAATACTGCCAAAAAAAAAGAGAGAACTTTTCATTTCGAAATAAGATTACTTGTTGCATTAATCTTAACAGTACAATGTTTTTCAAAATGTAGAACTAACAAAGGGTGGGAATCTTCTCACTTGTCTTAGTAATTGTAATTTATTGTTTTAATGAGGCATTTGAGATTTACTTGTTCTATCATTTAAAAAATAGTTAGTTTGTAAGGACTTTTCAGAGAAAAGTTATCATTCAAATGTTTTTTTTAATTTTTAGACAAAAGAAGTTAGAAAAAGTGATGGAAGAAGAAGGCCTAAAAGATGAAGAGGTAATTAATATTGGGAAATTTTTCCTTGAAACACGGCATGGCAGGTCGTATCTTGTCCAGGAAGTTGTTAGCGTTGGTGCATGGAGGAACAGTTTTGGCTTAGTATGAGGTCGGGCATGCTTCTGGATGTAGGTGTTCATGCAGTAGGAGAAGTTAACTATTAAGCAGATGAGGACTTTTCCAGGCACAGTATAATAAATTAATTAGATTTAGAATCCCAAGAAAAGAAAGAGATTAAATCAAATTGAAATTTTAAAAAAGCAAATGATAGCATACTTACAGAATTTACTGTAAAGGTTCTATAGAAGTGAACTAAATTTCTGAAATCATTGTCAAGGCAAAATATCTCTCAAATTAGCCCTCTATCCCAATGCCCACAGATGCGGTAGGAGAAAATATAGTTGACAAGAAACTGCAGGAAACTGAAGTGGCAGTGGAAATACTTTCAAAAATAGGAATGAATCACAGAACCCAGGAAAATGGTAAAAAAATATCCAAAACTTAAAGCATAAAATGAGCTATAATGAGTAAAAAAAAAAAACCCAAAAGGAAATAAAAAAGAAATGACTTCTATTTTTTATTTAAAAAAAAGGTTAAAGGAAAATATTATTGTTTATCCTTCTTCTGTCATTAGAGAAGTTGAACAGTGGATTGCTGAAGTAGGTTAGTCAGAGTCCTCAGAGGAGGCACCCATTTTTCAGTGTTGTTTGGCTCTTGGATCTGAAGGTCAGGGAAGGCCGAAGAAGTGATCTCTTTGGGGTCCTTCTATGGTGCTTTCATGTGTGAAAAGATTTTGCTTAGTCTGGTGTGGTCCTGCTTTCCAGATGGGTGAAATCACAAATATGACTCTTGCAGAGTTTCAGAATTTCAACTCCTCCCTTTCCCACCTCTTTCCCTCTTTATTTAAACATTAGAAGCAACTCAGGAGATCAGCACATGCTCGAAAGGAAACAGAGTTTCTTCGTTTGAAGAGAACAAGACTTGGACTGGAAGATTTTGAGTCCTTAAAAGTAATAGGCAGAGGAGCATTTGGTGAGGTAAAAAACCACAGCTACTTACCAAATACAAAAATACCACAGATTTTTGAAGCTTCTAACATGCCATGAGCTATTGATTGTTGATATAACTGAATATGGAGTAGGTGGGTCAAACCTGCCAGCCCCACATCTTAACTGCTCTGTCTGTCCCCCTCTTCTCTTCTTTGCTGTCCCAGAACTCTTGTTTTCTCTCCCAGAACTCTTGTTTTCTCTCTTTTGCCAGAGATGATGTTGATGCTTTAAGCACTGATCTAGAGGGAAAATTTAAAGGTAGAAGGAAATAGGTATTATTTACTGGGTGTTTCCCTCCTATAATCACTCATTTTATAGATGATGAAGTGAAGACTCAGAGGGGATATGTAATGTTTTAGGGTCACACAGCCATTGAGCAGTGGTAACAAGTTGGGCTCAGGTCTTCTTGATCATTTTTTTTTTAAGGTATCATTGATATACACTCTTATGAAGGTTTCCCAAGAAAAACAATGGTTATTACATTCACCCTTATTATTGAGTCCCCCCATACCCCATTGCAGTCACTGTCCATCAGTGTAGTAAGATGCTGCAGAGTCCCTATTTGTCTTCTCTGAGCTACACTGTCTTCTCCATGACCCCACATACACCGTGTGCACCAGTCATGATACCCCACAATCCCCTTCTCCCTCCCTCCCCACCTGCCCTCCCTCACCCCTCCCCTTTGGTAACCACTAGTTTGGTAATCTTCTTGGAGTCTGAGTCTGCTGCTATTTTGTTCCTTCAGTTTTGCTTTGTTGTTATACTCCACAAATGAGGGAAATCATTTGGCACTTGTCTTTCTCCACCTAGCTTATTTCACTGAGCATAATACCCTCTAGCTCCATCCATGTTGTTGCAAATGGTAGGATTTGTTTCTTTCTTATGGCTGAATAGTATTCCATGTGTATGTGTACTACATCTTCTTGATCCATTCATTTACTGATGGACACTTAGGTTGCTTCCATATCTTGGCTATTGTAAGTAGTGCTGCAATAAACATAGGGGTGCATATGTCTTTTTGAATCTGAGAAGTTGTTTTCTTTGGGTAAATTCCTAGGTCTTCCTGATCTTAAAACTCTTGTTTTTCCCAGTAGTAGTTTTCTCCAGGAGCAAACTAACAGCATATCTCCACATTTTATTTCTTCCCACCAGATAGGAACAGCTGTAAAAAGTTGGCTTCAGGAGACAGAAATTATAGAAATGAATTGTACAGGTAGTGGTAGAAAGTTGAAAGCATTTGCATCTTTGTCCCAGTTTGTCTTGCAAATGCATCCTGTTTGGTCACAAGAGCAGTCTATTGGGGAGGGTTTGAATGAACCCACACAAGGTCATCCCCATTAGCGGAAAACACCCAAGGTGGACAACTTACTGATGTAACAGTTGCATTATCGTTGTATCAAAGGAGCAGCATATTATTAAAAACTAGCACCTAGGGAAAATGTGAGTACATATTCAAAGGCACGGGTGAAAGAGTGAATTGATCCCTTAATGTCCAGAATGCTTGTTGGCCCCTTGAGAGAGAGGAAGGGACAGCACCACCTCTAAAAGAGCTTTCTGTTTGGTGAGAAAGGGACTTGGGACTCAATCAGAAAGACAGTGCAGAAAGGTGCAGGGAGAAGAAAACATACATTCCCCTTGGAAGGGGGCAGAGAAGATGAGCAGGAATTGCCAAGAAGTTTTTCTTGGGATTTGTAGACCATTTTGTTTTCATCATAAAACTATCTATTCTTTCAAAAACCACTGGAAAATAGAAAAGAAAAAGGAAAAGAGTGTAAAATCCCATTTCCCCAATTGTACATTCTTTTTCTTTCCTCCTGGAGGGTTTTCCTGTGCGTGAGCTTTTGCTATTGTTATCATCATTGTTGTAATCATTTTCTCAGCTTTTCTGACCTGAATGGATAACATGTGCCATGGGTTTAATGCGTCCACAGGTTCAAAAGTGAGGATTTCAAAATAGACTGATTTGTTCAACTAGGGAGCCAAAGCTGTTCAGGTGTGGAGATACTTAAGGATGTTTCCAGCACTGACTCCACTGTGTGGAATATATCCACTTTGGAACATTGGAAAACACGTTCTTCTGCTTTGTTATTGTTAGTTAATTATATTAAAATTGTAGCACTTTTTCAGTTTACATGTAACTTCCTGTGACACATGAAAGCATTAGCTTGGCATTGTGAACTTCTGACTTGGCATTTCTCTTACAATTTTAGGTGCGGCTTGTTCAAAAGAAAGACACAGGGCATGTGTATGCAATGAAAATACTACGTAAAGCAGATATGCTTGAAAAAGAGCAGGTAAAGCACAATTTTAGCAGTGATTTTAGTCAGCTTATGAATTTTTTTGTCTCCTAAAACTGTGTTTATCTATTTGAAGTGTATATTATTTTATTCTATCATGTATGAATATACATATAATATTAATTTTCTTTTCACAACAAAGAAAGTTACATATATTTAAAAAGTACAAATAATGCTGTTATTATACTTACCCACAGTCTTTAAAGTTTTGAAAACCTGTTAGAGAAGCATCTGCTATTTGTGTCTCCCAGTTGCCCTTGTAACAAGTATCTGTTTTTTGTGAAGCCATGTTTGCTGTGGTAGCATGTGTCCTACTGAATGCTGAGAGAGAGAAATTGTATATATTCCTTGAAACTGAGGCCTGGAAATTTGAATTTGGAATTTGAAATTTAAAGTATGTCTTAGTGTGCCTTATTCCTAAGTTGAATGAAGCTTACTAAAACCAAGTTGGGTCTTCTGAGTAGCTCATCACTACTTAGAAGAGATCAGTCTTCTTTCTGAATGAATTTGAAGAAAGGTAGTGCAAATGGCAGAGCAATACAAATTCTTTAATGATTAAGAATGCTTTCTAAAACCTATCCTAACTTTGCAACTAGATTTATAAGATGCATAAATACTTCATGCCAAATAAGTAAGATTTGAAATATTGGACAGTATATTAAAAACAAGAAGGCAGACTTTCTATAAATGTAATTTAGCTGGTTGCTTAGAAACAGACTGTAGTGGGTGTTGTCTGCAAGTATCCTGTAAAAGATCAGATGCCATAGGAAGGCAAAGAGACTGTGTGGCAGACACAGCCCAGGACCAGGGATGGAGACTGGCCGCACGCCCAGTCCTTTCTGCGTCTTGAGAGGAGGCATAATCACTGAGGTTTCTCTGTCTTTCATTTAAGTGCCAGTTCAAAAGTAGAGTTTTTATTTTCTCTTTTATTTTCCCTATACTCTAGGAAAACACTCTAAAACTCAAAAGCTTTAGACTCCCAAGAATTTCAGCTGAGAGTATCAAATACCCTGGCAGTAAATCTTCAGATACTATAGTTTATGCTAATGCAAGCCTTGTTCAAAATTCATTACAGCCCTGTTTATGTATTATCTAAAAATTAGTGTGTGATATGTGAATGTAGGCATTGAAAAAGTTTCAGTTAGTTTTGAAAAGGAAAATGTAAAGCTGTATTGATTAGTTAGTATATTTTGTTTTTCACAAGTAAGGTTTATTTATATGGAACCTATTTCCTATAGTTTTAAACAAGGCTCAAAATCTTTCTTCATCAAATAATTAGCATTCAGAATAAAATTGCAAAGAGAAGGGCACCTCGTGACTCTCACTTACTAATCCTTCACAGTATATGCCAGTTGCCTAGCATTGGTAATAGGACGATCCCAACATAACGTGTAAAAAGATTTTCTCAAAAATCGTCCCTTCTTCAAAATCAATTTCTAAAATTTTTCTGCGTTAAAATAAAGGAATTTTCTGTTAGCATTAGGATTTTAAAAGATGCATTAATTTAATTGCTAGCTCACTTTGCTAATGGACTGAACCCCCTAGGTTTGATCTCAGTATGGGCCAGTTAAAGTTCTGGTCCCAAACTACCTGTCAGCCACCTAGAAGAAGCACTTTTGTGTTGGGTAAGAATGGAAGGAGACCAGTGCAGATCCATCACTTTGGGTGGGCCTGACAAAGTTCAGATTTAGAACCTAACTTTTTGTCAGGATGCAGAGGAACAATTTTTGTTTGCTTTTACTAAACTGAGCAGGAATTAGAGCTACCCACTGAGAGTTCAGGTTGTTATTCTGTCCACAGGATGGAAATTTCTGCTACCTGGAAAAAAATTTTTAAGATAAGAGACAAGCATTTAGCTAGTTTCCTTCATGTTTCTTTTCCAGGGCAAAAGGGAAACCTCCAATTGTGATGCCAATATAGTGTTAGGATGGCACAAAAGACTGCCTTTTATCTGTTTTCCTAGTGCCCATGAAGCAACCAGCACATAATTCCCCACCCCAACAAGTGTTTATGGAACAGGGGAAAGGGAACCTCTGGTGTGAGTTGCACCTCTGGCTCTTCCCTCCCTTACTCTGTATTCACCTGACTCCACTCCTGAATCTTGAGGTTTCTAGCTGCTGTTTTGGCCCCAGGAGAGAAGGGCAGGGTGTGCTCATAGTGACTGCAGCTTTTTCCCCTTGATGTGCAGGGAATGTTGCAGTCAGCATTCTGTCCTCGCCAAGGTGTGTGACAAGTGGCAGTAGTAGTGCCTCCCCTTTTCTCTGGCTCCTTGCAGTAGGTAGAGGCCATATGGGAGCCAGGGGAAGCAGACGTTGGTTGAGGCTGCCTTGTACAGTCTTTGTGCCTGGGCCATAGCCACAGATGCAGTTCAGCAAATTAGTGTTTCCCGAAAGCTTTGCTTCTTCATGATTTTATGGTACTATTCCTTATCACCACTTTCTTCCATTTTCCCACCCTCATACCATAAGTAGGAATGTAAAATAAGTTTTCTGTAACATTAAAGCTATTTAAAAATTTCCCAAAGAACAATTTAAATGGGAACTGAAAACTCAAGTATGTAACTCAAATGCCTTCAAGCCTATGGTAGTTAGCATGGAAGAATGTGGCAGGTTAGGTCTAAGACCGTGAGAAGGGTGGGATCTGTGTCCACATGGAAGAGAGAATGCTTGGTTTTACTAAAGACTTTCCAATAAAGCAAATAAGCATTCAGAACATTGTATCAAATAAAACAACTACTACGGCTGAGTTTGCCAACAGAAAATGCCTTGTGAGCCTCAGCACATCTTTATCTCTGAGCATGCTATGGAACTCATGCCCTGGCTTGGACTGGGTCTCAATAATTTAGGCCTGATTCAACCCAACAAGTGTCAACCCTTGTGACACTTACGTAAAAGGACAGGGGTGGGATTTGATAATGTACAGCAGTGTTTTTATTACTATTATATATTTAAAGTAGTTAAGGTAAATTTGATAATAAAACATTTTAATGAAGTAATTCTATCAGTTCTCCAAAACCTTTGGCAACTTTGGTCTCTTTAGCTAGGTAATTCAGTTAAAGTAGGAAACTGGAAATGTCATAAATTTGAATCAGTAACTTTTCTTAGGTGTTTTATATTTCAATTCAGTAAGAATTGATTGAGCACATGCTCTGTATAGCAGTGAGCTGACTGCCGTGGTGTCAGCATTCTGGAATTGTCAACCTGAGGCGCTGTCCTTACCGATAGCATTGCAGACCTGAGGCAGGACTTGTTTAGAGAGTCTCACCCAGGGGCTTAATTTTATTGTTAAAGATTATTAGAACAAAAAGACATGCAAAAGAATGGTAATTTTAACTAATCCGTTAAATTTATACCACCGTTAAAGTTGCCATTTGCATTAAAGCGATTTATTTTGCTGTTTCTTCAGCCATTCATCACTGAAGTGCTCATCACCAAATACCTTCAAGTCAAATGTTGTCTCTTTTGAGTTTGTAGATTTGCCTAAGCGTAAATTAGATCTTTTGCATCATCACAGTTTAATGCTCAAAACAGTATTTACATTGTTTAAACAAATATGCAGTTTAATAAAGCAGAGCAAGCCTTGTCATTAATCAAATGCATATACCTCCAGGTTGGCCACATTCGTGCGGAGCGTGACATTCTAGTGGAGGCAGACAGTTTGTGGGTTGTGAAAATGTTCTATAGTTTTCAGGATAAGCTAAACCTCTACCTAATCATGGAGTTCCTGCCTGGAGGTAATTACTTGATGATGAAAGGTCCTTTTTCCTTTTTTGTTCTGTGGCTTCTCTCTCACATCAGTTAACCCTCCTTTCGACTTGTAATCGTGCTCACAGAGATGCTTTCTCTATCTTTTTAGGTCTGTAAAGGAAGTCAGTAACCTGTCTTGTGCGGGGTTGCCTTTCTCCAGTTCTTAGTGCCATAAAAGTAACCTTCTCATTCATTTTCGTGATTTCAGATGGACATTTCTTTCTTTCTTTTCTTTTCCTTTTTAAATTTTACAGGAAAAAACTAGGGACTCTGCCTGCTCTCCTGTCAGTGGGAATCATGTATAATCAGCTACCCAAGTGACAGCATTGAAGCTATAACATTCTTTGCTTCAACTTTTTTCTTTTTCTACAACTTGTGTTAATAAGGAGTGAATTTCTCATTACTTACCATAGTAGTCAGAATCAATTTCCCATTTCTGAAATTTCAAGTTTTATGTAACTCATCATGTGCATCTCCTAAGACAGCTCCAAAGTAAACCCAGAATTGAACATACCATCTGTTCTGGGAACACAGTCTGTTTCCCAGTAAGCAGATGAACTATGAGCAAACTCTGATGGGGACATAGGAAAACTTTTTCTTCTTTTATTTGATAGCAAGGAAAATAAAATTGTGGCATAATATTTTGATCTTGTGACAACCATTAGTGTAGATCTAGGGTCAGCATAACTTTTTATTAATAATTGATGAAAGTTAGAAAAGTATCTGGTAGAATGAGGAAAGACTTCCTAACATTTAGATGCCAGTTCTCAAATGGGAGTAAAAACCAGTTCAGTCCCCAACCCCCTGACATGTATCTCCTTAAGCCTTACATGCACCATCTTCCATAGTTTCTCTTGTCTCCTGGACTCTGCCCTTTGCACTTGATGGAGCTGGCCTACAGAGCCATAGACCATCTGGCTTGAGCTCTCTGATCATCTGGGTGAGCTTGCACAGGTGAGGCCATTAGCTGCTCTCCTGGGCCACAACACTCAGGCCCCACAGCTACCTTAGAGCCAGCCTGAGTGTACCACCCCCACGTCCTGATGTGCCTTCAGATTGAGTATGTAGCTGCCAGGAATGATAAGGGAATCATATTTTTCAAGTCGTGGGTTGAAGAACATTTAACTAAATGGTTTAATTTTTGCCTGAGGGTAAATACCCACTTTTCTCCAAGAATACAAAAATTCTCCCAAAGTTATAAATGAAATGAAATTCAAAAAGTAGCCTGATGCTCTATTGAAATCAGAACTCTTTCTTTTCTCCCTGTTTTCTAACATAAATAGCTTTTTATGAGATCTAAACCGAATCTTTCCTGTTTCTCTTAGTTTTAAACTACATGTATATATTTGCCTTGCTTTGCTTTTATCTAACTGTTGAGTTAGGATCAGAATCTGTTTTTCACCGTTTTATATTGCTAGTTAAGCAAATGTAATTAGATTTTGATCTTGTAGAAAACTTACAGAGGTTACCTTTAACTGCTAAAAAACTGATACTGTGTTGTAAAAGTTGCAGAAAGCCTATTGGTAGATATTTAAATATCTCTTATAAAACACTGGAGAAAAAACCCCCACTGATCTTGGGAGGTATTCAGTTTGTACTTTTGGGAGGCAACTATTACACACATTCCAGTATGTAGTATTTTTAGCTTTTTGTCTTTTGTTGACTAACACTTTGCTACCTAAATACCACCTTCTTATTTATTCATGTTCTAGTGTTTTGTGAATAGAATTTGAAGACCTTGTTTCAGCTTTCTGAAATGTGCATGTTTTTTTTGTTTTGCATTTCAGCCTTGCTCTAGCAATGGCAGTACAACCAGTGTGGAAATGCCATTTGGTTCTAGGTATAGAGAAGTTTGCAGATACTTGTACAAAGTGAAAAGTCACATAGCGCTTTTCCCTAGTCTAAAACATTCTAAGCAAATGCAATTTTTTTTTGAGAGAGAGAAATTTGCTTTTTCTCTTCAAAGTAAATTGGCCTACTTTCTTCATTTAGGTTAGGTAGAAGTGCTTTGCTCTCTGTGGCTGTGAATTTTACCTTTTAAATGTTAAGACACTGCTTACCATTTCCACCCATACTGGCATGTGGGTCAGTTGCTGGAACAGCAGAGCCCTGTTGAACANCTGTGGGGGGTTGTAGTACGACCAGCGTGTATTTACCTATCTGAGCAGCCTCTGCTGTAACGACTTTAAACTTACACAGCTTGTAAAAATCACAGTAGGGGAGCTGTGAGCTGCCTTGTATATTTTTCTCTTTTTTTACAGGTAAGTTTGCTGTTAACTGTGTTTCTCTGAAAGGCTTATGATTTTGTAATTTCATTGAACATTCCTCTTAAAATGATATTTAAAAAAAGAGTAAAATTGGTGTAGAGGTTATTTTGTAATAAAGCCAAAGATAGTCATTTTCTCTTAGCATGTAATTAACTCTACTTATCCATCACCTATAAAGAACCCCTCTATTGGGCAACCTCATTAGTTGAGGAACCCAGCCAAGACCCAGGAAATGAGGCAAAAAAGCAACAATATGTCCTAAAGTTCAGGTTCAAAATCGTATACCCTCTGCTTAAAAAAGAGTCCAGCCCACCCTCCGTAATGGCCCCTTTATATGCACATGATTTAGTTACTTGGTTCTTAAACTCACAGCAAGTCAGAAATGAATCCCTGTGCTGCTAGATGCTGGCTACTGGGCAAACCCCTCTACCATATGGATCTCACTTAGCTATAAAGTGAATATATTGATCCAAAGAAGCTCCCAGCTTCTAGCTCTAAAATTCTAGAATGTGGTGCTCTGTTACTCAAAATTCTCTGAATTTTTAAGTAGAAAAGTCAGTTTAATTCCTAGAATATTTTTCTTTCTTGCTATATTTTGATAACTTCTTGCTGTCACTGAAAATCCTGAACTTTTGGCCTGAACTTTCTTTGACAGTCTTTATCTTTCTATTTTAAGAGAGCAGGAGATTTGCCAGGTAATTTCTTCTGGTTAGTAGGTTTTTGCACATACATAGTAGAAAATTAGAACAATACAGAGACTTATAAAGAAGAAAGATAGCTCTAATCTCATCATTCAAGGATAACTGTTATTTTGGTCTAATAGCTAAATGTCTTTTCTCTGTGTCAATAATTTATATACAGTTAGCATCCTAAAAATAGTTTGTTATGCTGCTTTTAAAATGTAAATGTATGTGACAGTATTCTTCTATGTCCTTAAGTTCAGCTATTTTTAATAAAGCACCAGCTCTACCTTGTGCAGTCCTGAGGTCAGATCGTCTGGTCCTATATCCCACATGCCTTAGTGCTGGCTTAGTTGTATCTCATAGTCTGTGTTCAGGTCCAGCAAACAAAACTGTTGAAGGCCAAGCACTTGGGGGATACAATCTAGCTGAGGAAAAGTGGGGAGAACCCTGTTAGGAGCAGATTTGCTTTCTACAATACACTAGCCTTGCAAGTATAGAAAAATCTTCTCACAACTGAACTCATTTATGTGTTCAGCCATACAGATTGTAGATGTGAAAATGTAGAAGTTTTGAGTCCCTGCTATATACTCAGAATAGCTACAGAGTTCCTTGAAAATTTAGGCTTCAATATCGTTTGCTCCAGGCTTTCCTTTTTAAGACACAGTTCTTAGAGGTGTCCGGGTAAAACACGTAATTATGAGAGCTATAATTAAATTCTCATTCCTTGGCTTCTAGAATAAGTTATTTGCAAATCTGGAAAAAAAAAGATAGCAGGTTAGTAGGCTCAAACCTATCCTGGACAGTTTACTTTGTTGTGCATGCATGTGTGCATGAGGTGTGTGCGAGTGTGCACGTACACGTAATGGGATGTATTTACAAAACAAAACAAGACCTGACCCATTTGATATAACTTCTGTAGACTCCCTGTAGTCTGGGAAGATTGTATTTCAAGGCCTGAAGATGTCCTGAAGGAAAGCGGTAGAGGCAGACCACAGATGCTGAAGTTATTGGGGCTCAAACCTTGGCCCACCACTTCTAATTTTGTGACCTTGAGCATTGTAGATTTCTGAGCATCAGGTTTCCCTCCCCTATTTTTGGTTTTACCTCCTTATCTACTTAAAATCTCACCACCCCAAGAACACCTATACATCTTCCTTGGGACTAGTTATGTGCTGGGTACCAGGTGAGGAGCCTTACATGCGTTAATTCTCATCTTTCATGCCAGGATATATTATCATCCCCATTTTCTAGGTAAGACTGGAAATTGGAGAAGTTAGGTAATCCTGGTCTGGGGAGAAAGAACATGGATTGATTTCTGGCTTTGGTTCTGCCATTTCACCACAAGCCATTTAATAACTCGAGTCTGAAGTGTAGATTAAGAATTATAAATGAGACGACACATTTAAAGCATGGTACCCTGCTCATAGGAGGTGTGAGTGTTCCTTGAAGAGAATAATGATGAAGTCAAAGACTTCTGATTGGAATACAGTATGGCAACATTTATTAAGAACTATGTAATAAAGTTTGTTCCCTTTGTCATTGGAATAATTTGCTCCTTGAAGTTTATACTGATGAAATAATTCAAGAGGAGAAGCTGTATGAACAGAGATTTGTTCACTTATTCATCATTTAACCACCACTTGTTAAGACCATCCTTTCTACCATGCACAGTTAAGATTGGGAACATAGGCCCTCTCCGTCCTGGGTGCTTGTAGCCCACATTACATGAGAGTGGAGTGAGCATCAGTATTAGGGAGGTGGTTAGGTACACAGGAATAAACTAAGTTGTTTGGATATTATGTAAACATTAAAAATGGTAATTTGGAAGACCATATAGAAGCACAGAGGAATATTTGAGTATTAAGAAGTAATAAAATTATCTTTAGATGCCTTGGAGGGTTTGGCTCTGTGTGAAGTTTGATATTTGGACAGAAACAAGGATAATGTGCTAAAATAAAATACTTTTATTAGTATAATAGGATTTGAAGTGAACTTCAACAAATTTATTGGCTATGTATTTTTCTTTTCAATAAAATTTAAAAAGGCAGCACACTTCAGTGGTGGAGCTGTAATGGATACTGCAAGGGGCTGGGGAAGATAAGGTTCTCTTCCACGTCCATGAATGTTCATCCATCCATTATTGTTTCTTCTCCCCATAGGGCCATGTGAAACTTTCTGACTTTGGCCTTTGCACAGGACTAAAAAAAGCACATAGGACAGAATTTTATAGGAATCTGAACCACAGCCTCCCCAGTGATTTCAGTAAGTGTTAACAGTAATGTTAGCTTTTTTTTTTTATCCCTTAACTGGGCCCAGAAGAGCTGTTCCCCTGATAACCAAAACAAGCAAGGGCAGATTAGGAAATTGTCATAGCATCAGTCTTTGGAGAATAAAAATGCCTTCTCAGGTTTGCCTGTGATTTGTGTTGTATGGTGAGGCAAGATGTTAAGGTGGATGTCAGAAAGAGCTTTCTTTGGAGCTCTACTCAGAAGGTTGGTGGGTGGGTGGGAAGGGTGGGAGGGATAAAAGGGCACAAAAATTCTTAATCATAGTGTAAGTTGGTCATGGGGATGGTAGTACTGCATGGAGAATATAGCCATTGATTCTGTAACATCTTCCTGTGTTGACAAAGAGAGTAACTGCGCTAGAGAGGGTGAGGATTTAATAATACGGGTACTGTTGAACGACTGTGCTGTATACCTGAAACCAATATGATTGTATATCAACAATAGTTAAATTAAAAAATGTTTAACTGGGGATAAATATGCGGCAGGCAAGCAGAAATAGTAGAGGAAGAAGGTCTTGTGACCAATTCCAGATCAGATTTGTCCTAAGTACATCTTTCTGGCCTAGCAGAAAGTAAGTTATCCTTATGAGTATCACTTTCACTCAAGCACTAATCAAACTGTTGCAACAATGTAGTAAAATTACAGTGCATCCTAGAGAAGCATATGGCAAATAATGTATTATAAATTAAGAAATTTCTGATTATGTAACAATTACTATTCTTGGAAATTTGATGGTAATTTTGAGAAATTGTGAACGTTTTTAGATCCACTTTGGGAACTTTGCTTCTGATGAATCTGAATTAAGTAATTCTGATTAAGGCCCATCTTTGTCCAATCTAGCTGCATGATCCACATGGAAGTGCTGTTTATGATTCTCACTGTTTGATTCTTTGAGTTAGTGCTTTAGAGTCTGGTTTGGGCTTATAAACTTGCTGGGAAGTGTGATTCCCAGAGTTATTCATGTATGTGCAGAAAAGTAAGACTTTAGGGTCTCATGTGGTTTGAACCAGAGCCCAAAAAAGTAGTAAAGATTCCTGTCTGAACTTTGATTAGAACTTGTTTCCTCTACATTTAGCTTTCCAGAACATGAATTCCAAAAGGAAAGCAGAAACCTGGAAAAGAAATAGACGTCAGCTAGTAAGTAATGTCTGTGGCTTCTTAAATGCTACAAACCAACCAACCATGTTTATAGTTCAAAAATATGCATATAAATTTGCATTTGATAAGTGTTTGTGGTGTGTCTGTCTCCCGTGCTTTTAAGATTACCTTACTAGAGCACTGTCATCATGTCAGCAATACCAAAACTAATCTTTTGAAGGAGAGGAGAAAATGTGACATTTTCAAAGGATGACCTCCTCCTGACCTGTTATGTTGGTGATGGCCCCTTTCTTTCCAGTTCCACCTGTTCCCATAAAAAGGTGTTTCAGCTGGAATTTTTTCAAAATGAAATGAAGTAAAAATACGTCCCCAGGGCTTTAAGGTAGTGATACTCAAACTTAAAATTTTGATTCACTTAGGTGAGTCAAGACTTCTCAATTTCCTGCCCCACCCTTTGCTACTCTGTGGTGGAAAAAAGAACTGGGTGATAAAAATTGGAGAGAAATTTAAGGGAAATGTTTCTTATTTTATAAGTATTTGAGTATATACACATAAAATTATGCCCCACAAGCTTAAAAATAAGTAACATTATTGCATTTACCTTGTTGGAAAGTTATTGAAATAGAACAAATTCACCAGTGATACATTGCTGCCTAGGCAAACATTTATTCTGATTCATTGGTTCACATTTGAAATGCAGAGTGTATGTCCAAATGTCTAGTTATTGGAAAACTGACTAGAGATAATAGAAGTGTGTATCACTCTATACTTAGGCTTTGCTAGAAACCCATAGCAAATGAAATTGATGATGGTAACACTAAACTAACAGTTGGTCTTTAGAAAGCAAGAAAAGCAGCAATGGAAAACTGCAACTCAGAATTATGCTCATGAAACATGTATTATCTAGAAATGATAGTTGTCAGTCCCCTTCCCGCCACTGACCCGCAGGTAAGGGAGGAGACCTGAAAGGGCCAGCCAGGGGACTCAAGGCGTAACAGCGCAAGAGCAGTGCCAAGAAGGCACTTCTCGTTTTTATTGAATAAATGAACTTACAATGAACTCAAACATCGTTATCCGGCCTTGAGTCTAGCCTAAGGTCGCGATGCTTCTCAAGGATACCAAAACTGTGTGAAGGTAGCTCCAAGCCATGAGAACTGCTTTGGTTCTCATCACTCAGTCCTTGACTACACATTAACAGAGTATGTGGGAAAAACAATCAAATCATGTGTGCTTATACATTTGATTTCTACCTTACTTGAATTATGTATTAACCCCATCAATCCTATAGATAGCACTTCTGCTTTTGGTGTATACAGTAGTAACTTAGCAGGTTTGCCAAATAATGCAGTTTGGCCAGACTTCTTAGTAAAATAATAAATTAGAATTCTCTAAAGTGTTTTTACTAACTCACTTAGTAAACTGTTAGTGAGTAGTAGGTAGGTGTCGGGTGTATGTGAAAATTGAAGCCTGTAGAATTGTTCATGAAAGAATCATAGGAAAGCCTTACATTTTTAAAATTTATTTGAGGCCCATCCTCCATGCTTTGAGTATTATAATTTCTATGATAAAACTGGGTCCTGGGAGAGGCATTAACTTAAACTAAACACTTTTGTAGATGTGAAAAACTGAAACATATTTGATGCCTTTTTCTGAGTATTATAATTTTTATAAAACTGAAACATATTTGATATCTTTTTCTGACATTAACTTGGGGACACTTAAGTTTGGTATGGTTAGTCATATCATAGTCTCCTTTCCTTAGGAACTCTGATACTCTTTAACTGTCTAAATTCTGAATGTGATTGAAAAACTGTTTACATAGCCTGTTGAGGGTTAGGGACTGTCAGGAACAAATGTGGATGTTTTTATTATGTCTCTCCATAGAGCAGTAGGTCTTAACTTTGGCTACACGTCAGAATCACCTGGGGAACTTCAGAACATACTGATGTATGTCTAAGTCCCACCCAGGGTCCTGATTCAGTTCGTTTAGGATATAAACTAGGTATCTGATTTTTAAAATGAATCTGAGTGATTCTGCTGTGCAGTGAAGGTTGGGACCCTCCACTGGAGAGACTGTTTCTTAAACAATAGCTCCTGTATTTTTTGGGAAACTGATATTTACCTGTGTTTTGAAAGCTAATGAAAGGTAGGGAATCTTCTGTGCTTTCTTTTTGTTTTTGTTTTTAAAGCAAGCTAAGATTTAACCTTTGGCCACTTGCTAGTATTTATTTTGGTTGTGATTAAGCTTAAATACCATAAATTATAATTATACTCTGGGACAGTCTTTATGCTCTTTGACAAACACCAAAGGGTCATATCAGATTTACTAGGAACCACTTACAGGTCTATAAGAAGGTGATTTCACAATTTCTATATTTGGAGGTAAATGTCTTTTAATAGCCTAAAATGTCTTTTTTTTAAAATATGAATAAATTAAGATTCTCATGGTGTGATTAAGGTTCTTGCCTTTTTATTCTGCCTGCAATAGAAATGGAAAAGTGTTAAGGTCATCCTCATATTACCTCTTTTGATAACTTGGAGAGAATAAAGCTACTCTCAGTCTTCAAAAGGTCAGTCAACCCTGTGCTTTTGACCTTTTGTAAATGATCCTCTTCAGGTAGTATCAAGTGGAAGGTTAATATTAGTTAATGTTTAATGTAAATTTACTGCTCTAGATGTAATTAACAGATGTAATTGATTGCTTACCTAGTCTATTACTTTTAAGTCCATTGAAAATCACTAAAAAATTGTAGACGCTTTAACTTCACTTCTTGGCTGCTTACATCATATTGTAAAGTTTTAAATATCTGTGTGGTCCTGAGTAACCTTAGGCTCCAGTAACCGATTAAGAAATAGATATGAGTCAGCTTTGTTATTAAATCACAGAGGTAAGAGATGAAGTACAGACAGGTATCCAGTCTTTGTCAGTTTATTATTACTTTTTAGTGTAGAATTTATAGAAGTGATTAAGTAGAAAATTAAATTGCTTTATTTCCCCTAAAATCCTAAATGAAATCAGAAGTTGGAACACATCATGTGTTTGAAATGACTACTAACAATTAACAAATCTCTTTTATAGGGTAGCTCTCATTGAGACTATAAATACCCAGACAGCAAAAGGAAAAAGAAGGGTATGGATTTGAAGTATTAAGAGCTTATAGTTAGAGGACGCCTGGTCTGGAAAACAAACAAAGGTTTGGGAAGAGTGGGTAGTGTCTAGATTAGAAATACCTGCTACCTGAGGCTATCAGTGCAGTACAATGAGAGTGAGCTCCGAAGGTGGGACCCTGGTTCCCAGAGTGAGAGCGTTACCTTATATCACAAGTTTGAGTTGGCTGTTGGCTATATTTTGTAACGTTAAGAGTTTTTTTTTTAACACCTTAACATTCAGCTTTGCTGGACTAATCTAGTCTCTAAGTTGAATGGCTTCTGTAGTTCCTTAACCTTTATAATTAGAAGGAAAATACTGCTGCTTCTTGAGGAGGGCCCAATCCATTTTTCAGACTTTAAAGCTTTTAAAAAAAAAACTGGCATTTATGTTATTTAATATGTGTATTTAAAAGGAAACAATGCACAATTATCTATATGGAAAAAAATAGTTCCTACCCTACTGTATACACAAAAATAAATTGTATGAAAAATAAAATTTCTAAAATTTTAGGAGAAAATACAGGGCAATAACTTTCTACCCTCAGAGTAAGAAATGGTTTCTTAAACAACATCTAAGAAGTGTAAATCATAAAGGAAAATGATTTATTTTACTGCTTTAATGAAAAAAAATCCTTCTGTATATTAAAAGAAATAAATGAAAAGACAAGCCATATGGTCCAACTACTTTGGAATTATCTTACAATTGATGTGCATACCCTACAACACAGCAATTCTACACCTAGTTACATGTCCTGCGGAAACTTGCACCTGTAAACCAGGAGACATAAGAATGCTTATCACATTTTCATAATAGCAAAAAAACTGGAAATAACCCAGTGTCCTTTGACAGGAAAACAGTTACATTCTGGAATAGAATACTTTAGAGCAGTGAAAATAATTGAACTACAACTACATATGGCACCATGGATCAGTTTTAGAAACAAAACATTAAAGGAAAAATCACATAGCAAAGACTGCAAGTAGAATAATACCAAAGCTCAAAAGCAAAACTGAACAAGATCTCACTTAGAGAAATACATGTGGCAAAATTAAATTTCTTTTCAAAAGAAGAGGAGTGATAAACTTAAAAGAGTTGAGCAGGAGTTAGGAGGAGAAGCAGGAAGATGGGATGGAGATGAGTGTTATGTTTGGCTTTAATGACACTGGTAGTATTTTGGTTCTTTAGTTGAACTCATGGATATTCATTTTCATTATTATGCTTCCTAATTTGATAACACATTTTTTGGTGTGTGACAAATATTACATCATTTTAAAAATCCTGATAAAAATGATAAGCCTCAGACTGGAAGAAGATAGTCACAATATGTAAAACTATAAAAGACTAATGTTCTGAATCAGGATTAATGCCCTGGATTCATAAAGAATTTCTACGAATCAGTAAAAAAGATGATGTAACAAAAAAACTAACAGGCAAAGGATCTGAACAGGAATTCACAGGAAAAACACCTCAGTGGCTAATTACCATGTGAATATGTTCAACTTTACCAGAAATAAGAGACATGCAAATTAAAGCAGCAAGATTCCATTTCCTATTCATCAAATTGGTAATGATTTAAAAGTCTGACCAAGCCAAGTGTCGGTGAGATGTGGAACACCAGGAGCTCATTCACACTGGGGGTGTTTAAATAGATAATCACTTTGGAGGACAGTTGGAATATGTCTAATTAAGTTGAAGATGCTCATAATGCAAGACCCAGCGATACCACTAGTATCCTCTGGAGTGCTCAGGAAGTGTTATAAGAATGTTTATTCGGGTGCTACTTGTCATAGTGGAACACTGGAAGCAACAAAAGTGTCCATTTATAGGAGAATGGATAAAAAACACTGATGGTATGACAGTAGTATGCAGCAGTGAAATGGGTAAATGAGCTACATGAGTAAATCTCAAAATATAATGTTGAGTAAAAACAAGTTGTATTGGTGAGGATGTGGATAAACGGAAGCCCTCCTACACTGCTGGTGGGAATGTAAGCTAGTTCAATTCAACCTTTGTGGAAAGCAGTATGGAGGTTCCTCAAAAATCTCAAAATGGAAATACCATTTGACCCAGGAATTCCACTCCTAGGAATTTACCCTAAAAATGCAGGAGCCCAGTTTGAAAAAGACAGATGCACCCCTATGTTTATAGCAGCACTCTTTACAATAGCCAAGAAATGGAAGCAACCTAAGTGTCCATCAGTAGATGAATGGATAAAGAAGAGGTGGTACATATACACAATGGAATATTATTCAGCCATAAGAAGAAAACAGATCCTACCATTTGCAACAACATGGATGGAGCTAGAGGGTATTATGCTCAGTGAAATAAGCCAGGTGGAGAAAGACAAGTACCAAATGATTTCACTCATCTGTGGAGTATAAGAACAAAGAAAAAACTGAAGGAACAAAACAGCAGCAGACTCACAGAACCCAAGAATGGACTAACAGTTACCAAAGGGAAAGAGACTGAGGAGGATGGGTGGGAAGGGAGGGATAAGGGGGAAAAAGGAGTATTACGATTAGCACACATAATGTAGCTGGTGGGTATATACAGAGAAGACAAGTAATGATTCTATAGCATCTTACTATGCTGATGGACAGTGACTATAATGGAATATGTTGGGGGAGACTTGATAATGGGGCGAGTCTAGTAACCATAGTGTTGTTCAAGTGATTGTACATTAACCCTCCCAAAATTTAAAAAAAAACAAGTTGTAGCAACACAAATAATGCAGTCCAGCATGAAACCTTTGTTAAGTTGAAATATATAAGAAGTAATATGTGATTTATGTGAATATTCATGCAAGCATTGAGCACAGCAATTTCGGGGTAGTTTTGACTTCAGTAGGGGTGGAGGGAGGGACTGTCTGGCTTTAATATAGTTTCTGTAGTTTTGTTTCAAAAAGAACAAATGACCTGAGACAAACATGGTAGATTATTAACCTCTGTTTAACATGCTTAATGAGTATGTGTGTTGTGTTTTCTGTGCTTTTTTTTTCTCTGTATTTCATAGTAAACACATTTCATAATAAATATTTTTAAAAGACAACCCAGGTATAATTTTTACTTTTAGAAGACATGTAATATAGAAAGCACCTAGGTTAGAGCCTTCTATGTGTTAAATCCTGTGCTGAGCACAGGCTTTGTATTTCACCCTAGTATTGCAGTCCTGGTATATGAGAGAAGATTGCTTGCATTTAGAAAGATCTTCCCCTAAGAACTATTTACATAAATGATTAAGTTTGGTAAATGGACATTTATAAATCTTTAACCTATAGGATGTAACTATAGCATTTGATCGCAAAGCTTCCTTTCATGATTTTATCAAATCAAAGAATATATATGGTAGAGGGATGATTTGGAGCAAGATATTTAATTTCCAAATTGAGCTCTGCCACTTAACTAGTTCTGAGGCTTTGGGCAATACTGTTTTAGGTGTTGTCAGATTTTTTTATCTGCAAAGTTGGGCTAATAGGGTCCTCTTGCTGAGTTTTGTTCAGGCCCAAAGAGGCTCACAAACGTAAGAAAAATAAAGCCTGCCACTTACTGGGGGCACAGTAAATGGTGGCACTAGCTTTTTTTTTTGACCTGATCAAGTATGAGCTGTGGCTATCTTTAGGAGGGGTCTGTTGCCTCACTGGCAAAGCTTTATGGTTCATTTTGGAAGTGCTTTGGCAAATTAGGCTTGCAATAAGCTACTGGGCTGTCCTGCTTAGTTGTGGGTAGCTGTTGGTGGTACTGGTAGCCTTTGGTCTCTAGAACAGAACTCTGGGCACCCTCCTGCTTGCTGGGCCACCCTGACATGTGGTACGTGTTTCAGGCCTTCTCCACAGTAGGCACTCCTGACTACATTGCTCCTGAAGTGTTCATGCAGACCGGGTACAACAAGCTCTGTGATTGGTGGTCGCTTGGGGTGATCATGTATGAGATGCTCATCGGTAAGTTGCATGCTTTCAGAGGACTTTTTCTGTGCAGCCAGGAAAGATTCTTACATTGATAGTAGACTGTGTTTCAGTTGGTGTTATCTAAGAATTTTCCCCCTTGTCTTTCAAAATGAAGTTACCTGGGTAGAAAGCTCATGACCATCAGGAGTATCCTACTCTATTCTCTGGCTTATAGGCATCTTGTGGTTGCTTTGCTGACCATTTATCATATTTTTCTTCTACTTTTTCATCTTCTCCATCTACTATCCCTTTCAGTCACTGGCATTTATTAAACATCATTGTTTACAGAGAACTTTAACTGGGCATTGCCTCATGCACTTCTTATTTGCTATCCCCTTCCTCTCTCAGAGCCTTCAAAGCATGGAATGCCCTGAACCCCCTGACCTCTCTTATTTGGATGGTGTGTCTGGTATTTAGGGGACACATCTGTGGGAGTGGCCATATACCTGAGAGCATGAGGAGAGTGTATACATCTGTGGCGGGACCGAGTGAGTCTGTGTGGACGACTGGTGAGGCATGTGTCTGGCTGCATTGTCTCTGGGAACATAGGATGGATGCCTGTGGAGGTGGACGTAGTCTGTGTGGAGGTCTGGTGGAGTACTGTGTATCGTTTGTGAGAATTTATCCTCTTGGCTGTAATTCTCAAAAAGAGGCAAGCATGGTGGTCACTTTTAAAAACAGCTTTTTTCTTACTGAGGTTGTTAAGGCACTTCACCTGTGTGAAGGGTATCCCTAGAAGGGAGGCATGTCCTAATCATGTTGTCTCATCCTCTTATTCAGGCAGTGATTCCCACATCTGCAGCTCTGCTTAGGTCTGCTGTCTTTTCCCAGCTCCAGCTATTAGCTGGCTCCCTGGGGGTACCAGAAGCACAGATTCACTTGGGGGAAAATAAAAAATTGGTGTAGATGTTTTCTGGGATGAGTAGAAAACCTGTCCATGTCATGGAGGGAAGAACATACAGGGTCATTAAGAGTTACAGAGAATCATGTTAAAGAGAGTGATCCAGTCAAATTCAAAGTTCTGGGATATTAAAGCTCCCAGGTTCCTTTTTTGTTACAGGCTACCCACCTTTCTGTTCTGAGACCCCTCAAGAGACATATAAGAAGGTGATGAACTGGAAAGAAACTCTGACTTTTCCTCCAGAAGTTCCTATTTCTGAGAAAGCCAAGGATCTAATTTTGAGGTACTAGTCAGAGAACCTCTTTCCCTCCTACCAACCAGGCTTTTTGACACGAGTGAATCCATTTTTCAAAAACTTCCATTATTTCCTGGGTCTGCCCCCTGCTTTCTGTCATTCTTTTCTGAAAAAAGGGAGAAGTTATTTCTTTTCTTTTTCTGAGGAGACTACTTGAGGTATTCTAAAAGGCTGAAAGGCTGCTATCTTTTCCAGATTCTGCTGTGAATGGGAACATAGAATTGGAGCCCCTGGAGTTGAGGAAATCAAAAGTAATTCTTTCTTTGAAGGCGTTGACTGGGAACATATCAGGTATATCCATATAAAAGCTTCCAGGATTATTTCAGAAAGTCTGTAGTTTGCTTAATACTAAATTGGAAGCACCATTTCATTACTGGTAAGCCAAGTAAGGGAACAGAGCTTCTTAGAAATTCAGGTCTTTTCCTGATGTTCATTGTTGGTGAAGAGTTGGAGCTTCCCGTCTGCTGTGTGCCACGGGTATGTTGAAGCCAGCAGTTCTTCCCAAGGTAAAGTGAACTTGGGTTCCACGGGGAAGGGATCATCTTAGAATCGTGTTGCACCTGGTTTTACTTAGAACACACCAGCCTCTCATGTTGGAAGCCGTGGGCAGGACTGTCCCTGCGCATAGGATAGGGGCTTTCACAAAGAGACAGAGAAGGGAGAGAGGAGAGGAGGAGGGACGGGTGGGGAGGAGCACAGAGCAGAGTGGGGAGCAGGAGTGAGAGTTGTTAGTTTAGCAGTGGGGGTTGTAGAGCGCTGCCAACGGTGCCCACCTACCGGTGGTCCCAGACTTTCTTACGCGTTCTTTCATTGCTAAACAGAGGGTGAAGTAGTTGTCATCTAATTCACAGTCACGTTCTGATTTGCATCCTTGTGATTTTTACGTTTGCTTGTTCATGCTGCGGCTTTGGCCACTCTACCTTTTGGACCTCTGGTAGAGGCAGGGCACCTGACAGGACACTCAGAGGTTCTGTCCCCTTTTTAGCAGACAGGGCAGGTGATCAGGGAGAGTGCATAAACTGTGGATTTTAATTTTTCATTATTTTCATCTTCCTTGCTCTGAATGATTGTTACTTGTGATTTTTCAGTGTAATTTGTTTCGTTTGAATCAGTCAGTTGGCATGGCCTTTCAGAGAAAGTGAGTGCTGCCTGCCAGTGGTAGTCTTCCTGCTCAGATGAGGGGCTTTTTTTTGGAGAAATACTTGATTAGTTATGATCCATGTGATTACTAACCTTAGTAATTTTTGGCATTATTCTTGGCAGAGAGAGACCTGCTGCAATATCAATTGAAATCAAAAGCATTGATGATACCTCGAACTTCGATGAATTTCCAGAATCTGATATTCTTAAGCCAACAGGTAATACCACCAACACTGTCTTCTGCTGCCTTATAAGCACAGTATTTCCCCCCAAGTTTTGGGGTGATGGTTACAAATCAGGGTAGAGAGCATGGAGAAGAACTTTAGTTCTTCAGGTTCTTTGAAAGTATTTTCCAGTGCTAATGCTGGGTAGCAGTGAGGCCTTGTCGAATGGAAAATGAATGCAAACTGCCATGTTGATACTGTTCAGCTGGGTGGGTAAATCAAAAAGATCTGTTCTTTTCCTGTTATTTATTAAATTAAAGGTGAGGTCCCCTGAAATCACAGAAATGGGAAAATAAAACTTCAAATATTTCTGAAAAATATGAATATAGCAAGCAATAAAATAGGTTCAAAGAATATAGCAAGCAATAAAATTCACAGTGAAAAACAACTTTAACCCCAGTAAACATTAGTGTGCTTCAGAATGTCATGCCTTCAGTTCTGAGGAGTCCTTGGGGTGAAGGCAGTGAACCAGCTCTCACATGTATTTCTTTTCCAGTGGTAACAAGCAACCACCCTGAGGCTGACTACAAGAACAAAGACTGGGTCTTCATCAATTACACCTACAAGCGCTTCGAGGGCCTGACGGCACGGGGGGCAATACCTTCCTACATGAAAGTGGCAAAATAGTGTCTCAAAAGCTGGCCTACTGGAGCAGAGTTTTTTGTACAACACCATGGTTTTCCTCTTGCACTCTTTTGGAAGAGCTTCCAAGAAGTTTATGAAACCCACTGATACATCATGGTAAACTCCTGAAATGTAATAGTGTGGATTCTCTTCATTATGCATCTGAAGATCTGTAGAACAAAGACAGCCATTTCTGATGCATTGCCATGAACAGCTGTCCTGCTTCTTTAGAAGTATCATGAGCCAATTTGATAGATGTTTTAAAAAAACTGGAGTTTTCCTAATACGTTCATCAGAACGAAGGGGGAAAAAAGTTGGATTGTAACATAAACTTACTGAATATCTGCCAATTCCTGTGATTTTGTGACATGCTTTCTGCCAAACCCACCAAGTATTTCTTTTTTCTTTACAGCTGAAAGTTCCATGTACTAAGGAAATAAGCAATAACGAAGCCTCATCAGCCAGCATTCTGGCTAAAGGAAATGATCTGCCATCCCTTGAGGGGGTGGTGGTCCTAGTTTCTCCCCATACCTCGGCCTCCGCAAGTGGCTTTTAATACTCTCCATTCATGGTGCACTTTATTTATGGTACTAGAATAAAGACCCTCAATCCATTGATTTATCTCTTCCCACCCATCTAAAATACTCATGCTGCTTTTCTGAGTGTTAATGGGTTGTAGTCGGCTCATGTTGCTCTTAGAAGGCCCAGAAAGCCAGTGGGCATTGCCAGGGTGTCCTGATCACATGGAAAACTCTTTCTCTTCAGGGCCGTATCAGAAAATCCCTAAGAGTTGTCATGGACCAGCGATACCCAAAATCGCTGCCAACAGGAATGCAGTTTTTTCCTGGGAACGTGGCAAGGAGAGTCCAGGCAGACAGGAGGTGTAGAACCCTCTTGGTTAAGGTGCTGCTCCTGCTCAGCCTCCAGAGCCTCCTTCGAAGCGGTGAAGGAACCAGCCCAACAGAAAGTGCAGAGCCACCTACACGTCCTTGCAAAGTTCACTCCTCGATCCTTGGTGCAACTGTGTTTTGTCTTGTCTCTGATATTTTCCTCTCCAAACCTTAACGATTTTGCCTTGGAATCCCGATTACGGGTTTGTTCTTTGCAGATGCCTTCCTGGGGATGCCCCTGTCCACCCTGAAGAGGGGCATACAGCTTGGGCTGACCAGGCCTCTCTGCTTTGGCATTCCCTCATGAGGGATGCTCTGAATTTTAGCACAAAGTGCCTTCTCTTGAACAGCTGCCATCACCTTTAGAGGAATTTTGCTTCATCAGAAAAATGGAGTCTCCATATTAATGCATCATTTCTTTTAAAAGTTTTGGTAACTCTTAGAAGCATCATTTGCACCTATGTGGTAATTTTGCCTGTTGTAGAGTGTCACAGCCAAGCCTCAGCTGGGAGACTGCTTTCTGCCAATCTTGAGGTTAATGATAAGCTTTGAAAGGAAAGTATGTCCTAGCTTAGCCATTCAGAAAAGAAAAATGGAATATCAAAGTTACTGCTTTGGGTTTTAATATCTTAGAGGAAGAAAAAAGAATATTAGGGGAGTATATTAACTTTGGATGAAGTAAATGTGTTGCCCTTAATCTTTCATTCATGGTCTGTTAGTGAAAAGGAAGTAAATGAGATTCTTTTGTGTAACTTTGTAGTTTCTTTGCATTACCAAATAGCTGGGGTCTTGACCCCCCACATGTTGCAAGAGTGTGTGGTAAGCATGAACAAAGAGAAGTAGCAGGACTGGGATAATCTGTGTGCTGGGGAGTGGCAGGGGATGATTTGTTTTAGGGGAAATGCCCACATTTTAACTTTCAAAATTCTGAATAAACTATGTAAAAACAGTAGTGTAAATCTGTGATGTGTTTTCAAGCAAATGTATCTCCCAATTCAGAGAGACAGAATGCTCGTGTCTTCTTTTAACCCCTTTGTCTACAGAAATGGAACACTGCATCACCACTTTTAGCTGAAGTGCTTTTCTGTCTCGGAAGCTGGGACCTGCACTTTTTTGTTCACTGAGAACAAGTCTTCTGTTCGCAGCAGGCATGTGCTCTTCTGCCTGATTTGGTGTCCAGGGCAGTGGATGTTCCCTTTGTGATCAGGCCAGGGGAACACCTGCTGACAAAAGGGCTGTCAGCTGGTGGCCATTTGTATAACTGCTCAGAGTCTGCCCCTATTCTCTTCCAGCCTGGGGTTGACCAGGAGCCTCACGAACTCCCAGGATGGGATTTCTTAGCCCTCCATGTCCACCAGGGCAAAGTTCGGTCTCCAGATGCTGTGTACTTGAGGAATCCTGTTGGGTCCCACTTCTTAGCTCCTTCCCTAGCTTATGGAAAGGAGCCTCAGAAAGAGGCCAGGAAGGGGCAAAGGCTGTCCAGCGTAGAACTGCAGGCCAAATGTATATTGTCTTTCCAAAGCTCTTGGGTTTCAAGGAACATGTTGGGGACCATTGGCTCAGAGTTGGTCCTATTCACAGGCAACTTGTCTCCTACTTTTTTAGGGGAAGTTAGGAAATAACTTTCCTGCATGCCAAAAGCTGCATACTGGTGTCATTCTCTCTCATTGATTCAGGAGTGCATCAGAATTTTCTTCAGTACCTGTTTCTTTTTAGAATTACTTTCAGAAGTGAGGTACAGATGAGTTCTTTGGGATTAGTATTTAGGATCTGAAAAGTAGATTGCTAATTTCAAAATATCTGTATGGCTTAATAGTAATCCTCTGCCATTGATTGCTAATACTTTTTGTCTGAATTGTTTCCTTGGAAACTACTTCCTGGGTCACCTTCTCCTGTTTGTTTCTCCTGGGCCTCTGTGTGTAACATGGTTTTTATTGAACTCAAAAAGATGAAGTGAATGATATACTAGGTAGCATACATTTCCCAGGAATGATCTGTCAAAGCCAACAGTGACTAAAAACAGTCTCCATGATGTTTTTTCAGGCATATTTTCAGTAAAAACGAACAAACATACATCTTGACCAGGTAACATTTAAGCATCCATAATGTACAGAGTTCATTACTAGGTACTGTGGGGGTGTGGTAGGGAGCTGGCCGTAGTTCTGAACCTGCAGATCAGTTTGGGAAG